CTTCTCCTCTCCTCTTCCACAGCTCTTCCCCCCCGCCCCACTCTCACCCCTACTAGCGCCATTGTTTAATACTCCCTCCTTTCCTCAGGTCTGCCTTCCAGCCCGGGTCCACAAAGACCTAGCGCGTGCTTAGCTCATCTTGGCGCATCCTTGGCGGGCTGTCTGGATCCACACATCCTGGCCTAAAGCAGGGCATTCACGCGGAGCCGGGGCGTCTGCTTGGGCCGGGTGACGGTGAAGCTTCACAACGTTACCCTTACCCTTCCCCTTCCCACTATTCGAGATTGAGGAGGAGGAGGGGGGACGCTGGTTCGTCTGTTTGTTCCGCTTTCGGGACTTGCAGCGGCTGGCTGGGCGGAGGGGCGGGCTCGGCGATCGCATGGCGTCTTTTACGAGGCGGGGGGAGGGGAGGGGCTACTCTGGGCGTGCGGGCTGGATCGTTACCGTATCATATGCTCGCTCGATCTGGTGGTAACATTGCTTGCTCTCCAATGCGAGGGTATCCGAACCGGTGCGCGGTCATCTTGCCTACATCAGGCAATATCCTGCGGTGTATGTGCTGTCTTCCCTCGAAACTCTCCCGCGCCGTGTAGTGTAGTCAGTACCGAGCCGGAGATCATCCGACTCACTCACTGTTCACTACTATTGTGGGTGCCTGCCTTCGGATTCGATCGCAGTTTGCCATGCGCCGCACTGCACCTGTGAGTGACAGCATACGGTCGTACAACCGCAGATCAGCCACCACGCCGGGAAGGCGGAAATAGAAACCCCCTCCCCCGATTAATCATCACCTTAATTCATCCCCCCTCCCTGACATGTCGGGCGTGGAGTGCACATGGGTGACTGGGGGGGGGAAGGGCGGAAACGTGGAGGCGTGTTACTCGAGTGGTAGGCTGCTAGGTAGGGAGGAAGATGCATGTACGATGTACGACGGTTTCAGTTGCACGGCCACGGGCGCGGAAGCGGAGGGATGTTGTGCCCCGTCGTCTCTCGTTGACACGTGAGGACGTGATGGGGTGGTGTGGAGGGCGTGGGTGGGGGATGGTTCTGCGGATTCACAGGTGCTCAT